AAATAAAGCCCCAATATATTGCTCCTTGATGGGAAGTCAATAAAGTTGTTACTGCTCTTTATCACAACCCAAAAAAAAAAGAAGTATATATACATTGAACTAAACTAGTAATGACTGATCATATATAGAAGCATAACGTGTATATATAGAAGCAAAACATATACATATATATATATATATATATATATATATATATATATATATATATATATATATGCCCATTAGCTAAGATGAAAAAAAGAGGATTATGAAAATAAAAATAAAAAATTATTTCCATAGTCACAAACAAAACAGCTCTTAAATTTTTATTTTAAAAAAATTGCAAAATACCAATTTAAGATGAAAAAAATATGATAACAAAAGGTACAAAATTGGTGTCAATTTCTAGTGGTTGGCTGCCTTCCCCCACCATTTATGGTATTTTGTGGGTCATATTTACTAAAGTTGCCAAAATTAGTCAAATTGAATGACTTTATATGTAAAGGAAACAGCAGATCACAAATATCTAATTGAAATTGCCATCCCATTTTCACCAAATAATAGCATAGGTGTGAACCACAAAAATAATGAGAAACACACTCATTAAAACTTTGAAAGTAATGAGAAACTCATTCTATCTCTTGTTTCAAAAGTAATCTTAGTCCACAATCATACTCTTGTTGTAGTTGCTTTTTAGCATGTACCATTGTTAAGTGTTCATTTATAAGTGGATGTGATTGACGAATTGAGAACAAAACTTAAGCGAGCCAAACATATAGACCCAATTGAATATACTCTGATCTTTATTTGATTAGATCTGTCATTGCATTACTCCCAATTTTTTCTTATGTAGGTTGTTATTTCAGAGTATCTCTGAAACCTGATTTGTATCCAAGTTTAAGCCAAGCAACCAAATTTTAATATCAATAAATTATCTTTCCTGGATATAAGTTTTCCTTGAATTTTTGTACATCGTATTGTCTTTGGTGGTGGCCCACTCTTTCTTTGATTTCCTTCTTTCAATGGCGTTGAATTTCTATCTTAGCAATTTGTCACGTTCCGATTCCTAACGACACCATGAGTATAGAAGACATTCATGCTGATTGGCTAAGAACATTCATTGAATGGAAATGGTTCCAGGAAAGGGGCGTGCAGGACCACAAGATGGTACCTCTTCAGAGTTCAGGCAGGTCGACTCAGTTCAGTTCGAGGTGTTTGTCGCTAGTTGTGGACTTGACTATGAAGAAGGGAGTTGGCCATCCCTGCACAAACTGGTTGGGAGCTGGAGCCATTCCCCTGATGAGACCAAGGCAGGTCGAAACCAGTCAGCATGTATCCTTGGGAGGGCAGGTCGTGGTGGCTGACCAGGGCACTTACGAGAGCTGAAGCAATGCCTTGGTGCCGCACAGGCTATGCCGCTGCACCAAATCTCTAGGCCCGTGACAAATGATATCAGAGCAGGACTTAGGGTAAAGCACAAAGGCGTGCCCCCTTGTCGAACCGGGGGTCTTGAGAATGAAGTGGGTGCACCAAAGTGTCGGTAGGCAATCAATGCTATTGGAGGAGAGCCTCCATCTCCCCAAGAAGATGCGTCTTTTGAAGCCGGAGGGCCACGCGCACCAAAGTTCTTGCAAGTTCAAGGGGGATGCAAACCGTTGTGAAGGGCGGGTATCAAGTCAGCCGGAGGGCCCTTGTTTGCTCGGGGTGTTGCGGAGGCGGCATAACGTGGGGTTGCGTCCCGAAAAAGTGGGCATCCCTTTAGCCCGAAACCCTATCATTGGGGGAGTGTAGCCAGGGGTTGTACAGGGAAACGATAGTGGGCAGGCAAGCATACCACTTGGAGGAGAGAGACTTTGGAATGTTAGACGCAGTAGAGTCAGTACTGCATTGCGACGAGGGCGTCGCAGGATTTGGGTGGGGGAGAATGTCACGTTCTGATTCCTAACGACGCCATGAGCATAGAAGACACGCATGCTGGTTGGCTAAGAACATTCATTTACTGGGAATGGTTCTAGGAATGTTCTAAGGAAGGGGCATGCAGGACCACAAGATGGTACCTCTTCAGAGTTCAGGCAGGTCGACTCGGTTCAATTCAAGGTGCTTGTTGCTAGTCGTGGACTTGACTATGAAGAAGGGAGTTGGCCATCCCTGCACAAACTGGTCGGGAGTTGGAGCCGTTCCCCTGATGAGAACAAGGTAGGTCGAAACCAGTCATCATGTATCCTTGGGAAGGCAGGTCGTGGTGGCTGACCAGGGCACTTGCGCGAGCTAAAGCAATGCCTTGGTGCCGCACGGACCGTGTCGCTGCATCAAATCTCTAGACCCGTGCCGCCTTAGACACTTTCAAGCCCCCTTGAAGCACTAAGTCAGCCTACCCGAGTATGCTAACTTAATAAAGATTAAGGCTAGACAAGTGTTTTGCTTACTTGGGTGTGTAGGAAGAGGTTAGACAAGTGAGCAAGAGAGTTTGGGAATGTATAGAACTTGTATTTCTTGAGATGAGAGATTACAACTTGGTTGCTTGGTGAGAAGCAAATGAACTCTCACCTCTTATTTATAGGCCTTTGGCCTTACAAGAACATTCTAGATGTGTACAAATGTGTGGCCTAGATTTAGTGTCTAGAATCCTCCAAAGAAATATCTACACACTTCTAGAACTATATAAAATGTACAAGACAAGTCTAGAAAATTCTAGAGAATTCTATACAACTCTAGACAAGTCTAGAAAAGGCTAGATAACTTCACACTAATCTAGAGAATTCCAGAAAGTTCTATACTTGTGTAGAGAAGTCTAGAAAGCTCCGATACATGCAGGCTCCATGTCATCGTCTGCTGGGCGCCTGCGTGGCGTAGCCTCTTGGTTGCGGGGCGTGACATTCTCCCCTACCTAAGCTCGCGACGTCGTCGTCGTGTCTTCTTGCTTGAACCGCTGGATATGCTCCGCGAACTGCCAAAGTGTATCCTCGTGCTCCCAGCTCGCCTCGCTATCTGGCAGGTTCTTCCATTTTACTAAGTATTCTGTATACTTGGGCACGCCTCTCCTGCTCATTACATGATCCGCAAGGATACAATCTACTTCTTTATCGAAGGATGTGACAACAGTTGTGGGTGCCCTTTACGATATGCCCCGAGTAAGGTCTTCCGTGTCTTCATGATAAGGCTTAAGCATGCTGACATGGAAGACTAGATGTATCTTCAACTTGGGTGGAAGCTCCACCATGTAGGAGACCTTGCCCACCCTCTTAACAATGGGGAACGGGCCCTCGTACCTCCTTACTAGCCCTTTATGCACACTCCGGAAAGACTTAAACTGTTGGGGTAGTAGCTTAACCATCACCTGGTCTCCCACTATGTACTCCACCCGCCTTCGTTTGGTGTCGACCCACTTTTTCATCTTCTTTGCCGCCTTGTCAAGGTACGCCCTAGCCAAGTCGGACTGCTCGTGCCACCTCTTGGAAAACTTGTAGGCCGCTGGACTTTTACCATCGCAAGTCGAAACAATGGCTTTGGGTGTCATAGGCTGCCGTCTGGTAAGAACCTCAAATGGACTATGATTGGTAGCCTCACTCCACTGCAAGTTATAAGAAAACTATGCCTCCCCAAGGAGTTTGGCCCAATCTCGCTGGTTGGCACTCACATAGTGCCTTAAATAAAGCTCTAGGAGAGCGTTAGTGCACTCCGTCTGCCCGTGGAAACTTGTAGAGAAGTTAAGATCCGTCCCCATCTTCTTGAAGAGCCCCGTCCAAAATCTACCCGTGAAACGCGGATCTCTATCACTGACAATATTCTGCGGAACTCCCCAAAGCTTGACCAGATGGTCAACAAACAATTCTGCTGCCCTCTCTACCGTGCAATCTGCCGGTGCGGGTATGAAAGTGACATACTTGCTGAACCGATCTACCACCACTATAATGCTCCCGCAACCCTCTGACTTAGGCAAACAAGTAATGAAATCCATAGAGACACTCTCCCATGGTCTCTCTGGAATAAGCAATGGCTCTAGTAGGCCCGCAGGATGCTGTTACTCAATCTTGTCTTGTTGGCACACAAGAGAAGTCCTCACATATGTCTCCACATCATCACGCATCTGAGGCCAATAGTAAGAATCTTCTAGGAGTGCTAGTGTGCACCGCATACTTGGGTGACCAGCCCATTTGGTGTCATGGCACTCCCGTATTAGCTCATTTCGCAAGTTGCCCCACCTGGGCACAAAGAGTCGGTCCCCTGTAGTGAGAAACAAATCATCCCTTAGCCAAAAGCACCGAGTCTTCCCTTCCTTAGCCAGCTAAATAAGGCTTTTGGCTAGAGGGTCATGCTGCAACCCCTCCTTGATCCTCTCCACAAGAGGGTGCTGGGGCCGACTAACAGTTGCGACTAAGCACATCTGCCACAACATTGGCCTTGCCCGGCTTGTATTCAAAATGATAGGTGAACTCCGCTAGGAAGTCCTGCCATCGAGCTTGCTTGGGGCTGAGCTTCTTCTGTGTCTAGAAGTAGCTGGTGGCAACATTATCTATCTTGATCACAAATTATGCCCAGAGCAAGTAGTGCCTCCAAGTACGTAAGTAATGGATGACCGCTGTCATCTCTTTCTCCTATACCGTATAGCGCCGCTCGGTGTCATTAAGCTTGCGGCTCTTATAAGCTATGGGGTGTTCTTCCTGCCTCAACACGCCCCCAATAGCAAAGTTTGATGCATTCGTGTGCACCTCATATGGCTTGGAGTGTTCAGGCAAGCTAAGTACCAGCTACTCTGTGACTGCCCTCTTCAAGTCATCAAATGCCCCTTGGCATGACTTTGTCCAACTCCAAGCACGGGCCTTCTTGAGAATGTCTGTCAATGGGGCTGCTCTTGCGAAGTAACCCTTGATGAAGCGGCTGTAGTAATTGACAAGCCCAAGAAATGAGCATAGTTCTGTCACCTTAGTGGGCGGCTCCCACTCTTGAATGGCCTTCACCTTTGCCTCATCCATCATCAGCTTGCCATCCCGTATCTTATGCCCTAGGAACAACACTTCCTCTTAGGCAAATGAGCATTTCTCTGTCTTCACATATAGGTCATTCTCCCGTAGGACTTGGAAGACCGGCCTCAAGTGCTGCACGTGCTCTTCTAGAGTGGTGTTATACACAACAATATCATCCAAGTACACCACCACAAAGCGATCCAAGTAGGGATGGAAGAGCTTGTTCATCAAAGTACAGAAAGTAGCAGGTGCATTGGTGAGGCCAAACGACATAACAAGAAACTCATAAGAGCCATACCTCGTCACACACGTAGTCTTAGGCTCATCCCCGTCCGCTATCCGCACCTGGTAGTACCCCGAGCGCAAGTCAAGCTTAGTGAAGTAGCGTGCTCTACCAAGCTAATCAAAGAGATCGGTAATAAGAGGAATGGGGTACTTGTTTTTTATAGTCACCTTGTTGAACACCCAGTAGTCGATGCACATGCGTAAGGACCCGTCCTTTTTCCTCTGGAACAGCACCGGTGCGCCATATGGGGCATTCGAGGGTCGAATATAGCCCGCATCTAACAGTTCCTTGAGTTGCCTCAGCAACTCCTTCAACTCTGGGGGTGCCATCCTGTAGGGCACCAAAGCAGGGGGTTTAAGACCCGGTTCCAGCTCAATCTTATGATCCACCTCCTTCCTAGGTGGAAGCTTCTTGGGCAGCTCCTTAGGCATCACGTTCGTGTACTCGTTTAGCATGGCTCGTATCTCCTTAGGCACCTCTTCTTGTGGGGAAGGGACTGGCTCATCATCGGGTGTCTCCAGTAACGTAGCAAGGTAGCTAGTCTCTCCCTTCTTAAAGCTCTTCTTGAACTGCATAGCTAACAAAACTTGGGCTTCCAACTTGGCGCCTCTATCCACTGGTACCATGCATGCTGCGTTTCCTTCCATAATACACATAGAGTTAGCGAAATGAATGGGGAAGGCTCTCATCTTATCTAGGAACTCCAACCCAATGACTAGTTTAAAGTTGTCTATGGGTACCACCGATAGGTCTATGTGGCCACCCCACTCGCCAATGCATGCTCTGACGCCGTGTGCCATGCCATGTATAGCCTTTCCCGCTGAGTTAACTGCCTTCATGGAGCCCCCTTCTTTACTATACTTGAGGCCCAACCTCTTGGCCTCATCAAGGCTCACAAAATTGTGGGATGCACCCATGTCCACCAAAGCACGTGCGAGTGTCCCATTGATGCTCGCCTCCACAAACATTAGCCCCTTAGTCGCCACCTTAGGGACTTCAGTTTTAGCCTTGATAGCATTAAGGATTTGCAGTGAACCCATCTGCGCCTCCTCCTGTTGTTGCTCTTCGTAGTGGCTCGTCATGGCATTGAGGGTCTTCCGCTTTGGGCAATCTCTTACCCAATGTGGTCCATCACATATGAAGCAAGAACCCTTAGGCTTGGGTGCTCCTTCCTTGTTCTCCCTTCCCTCTTTGCCTCTATAGCCACCACCTGGCTTACGGGACCAATCCTGGTGGGGTGCAGCGCCCTTGTCTCCCCTACCTTTGCAGGCATACCTCCCCTTATCCTTGTTTTTGTCTTTTGGCTTGGACGAGGGTTCCTTCTTGGAGCTGAAATCAATAAAGGACTTCGTTTCTGCAATAGCTGTGGCAAGGTCTTGCACATTGCATCGCCTCAACTCCGTCTTGGCCCACAACTGCAAACCATCCATGAAGAAGAAAAGAGAGTCCTTGTCGGATAGATCCAGGATCTCAAGAGTCAAGTTAGTGAATTTTTTCACATAGTCCCGAATCGACCCAACTTGTTTTAGCCTTCGGAGTCTGCCCCTGGCTTCATCCTCGGCATTCTCAGGATAGAAATGCTTCTTAATTTCTTTTGTAAAATCAGCCCAAGCATCAATAGAGACCATACCTTTGCCCATGTCACCATACTTCTTCCTTCACCATAGCATGGCATGGTCTGTGAGGTAGTGAGTCGCCGTGTGTATCTTGATGGTCTCATTTGTTATGCCCGTAGCCTCAAAGTATTGCTCCATGCTAAAGAGGAAGTTCTCCAACTCCTTCCTTACCCGGTTCCCACTATAGCACTTAGGCTTGGGAATATCAACCCGGAGTGCTACAACCCCCGTAGTAGCTGTGCCGGACGCCACCACCCGTCTGCACAATGCCTAATCCGCTCGCATTTCCTCTATTTGCTCGCGGAAAGTGCCAAGCTCCTGATCAACATAGCCACATAGGGTGGCAAACTCGCCCAACATAAGTTCTTGAAGTGCTTGGAGTTCCGGCCGAAAGTCACCACTTAGGGCATTGAGTGACCCTTTGACAATATTCTAGACCTCAGTGTCCTCCGACTCCAGCCCATCCATGCGTTGGTGAGCATCCTCAAGCTGCTCCAACATGTTGGCCATGGACCCCTCCATGTTTGCCATACGTGCCTCTAAGCCTGCCATGATGTCCTTCGACCTAGCCCTCGTCCTCATTCCGACTGAAGGGAGATTTGCTTCCCTTCCACGTAGCTCCTCCTCTTGGTTGTTAGTCACGTCTGATTGCTCCACCATAGCTTCCTCTACACAAGGTGTGACGCCTCACGACCTTAGCTCTGATACCAACTGTCACGGACTTGAACCTTTCCAAGCTCCCGTGCGGCCTTAGACACTTTCAAGCCCCCTTGAAGCGCTAAGTCAGCCTACCCGAGTGTGCTAGCTTAGTGAAGACTAAGGCTAGACAAGTATTTTGCTTACTTGGGTGTGTAGGAAGAGGTTAGACAAGTGAGCAAGAGAGTTTGGGAATGTATAAAACTTGTATTGCTTGAGATGAGAGATTACAACTTGGTTGCTTGCTGAGGAGCAAATAAACTCCCACCTCTTATTTATAGGCCTTTGGTCTTACAAGAACATTCTAGATGTGTACAAATGTGTGGCCTAAATTTAGTGTCTAGAATCCTCCAAAGAAATATTTACACAATTCTAGAATTATATAGAATGTACAAGACAAGTCTAGAGAATTCTATACAACTCTAGACAAGTTTAGAAAAGGCTAGACAACTCCACACTAATCTAGAGAATTTCGGAAAGTTCCATACTTGTGTAGAGAAGTCTAGAAAGCTCTAGTCCATGCAGGCTCCATGTCATCGTCTGCGTGGCGCCTGTGTGACATAGCCTCTTGGTTGCACGGCGTGACAAATTGCTATGATTTTTCCTCTTTGGCCTTTAGTTCTGGTGGAGAAAGAGACTTTGAGTTGACCCCCAAGTCAAGATCTTAACCAATGATTCAAGTTAATTTTAAGTTGGTAAAGAGTATTTGAGATCCGGAAATAAAATATATATAATATATATATATATGAGTTGACCAAAGTCAATATCTTAACAAATACTCCGTAATTCAAGCCGAGATTATGTTACATCAACTAATTTTCTATTTATCTGTCAGCTTTTGGTTATTATCATTATTGAATTCTTTGTTTTTTTCAAATTCAATTTGAGTTTCATTAAGCTTTTGTAGAGATTACTCTGTTTTTATTTGATGAGGTATGGAGTTGCATTATTTCAATTTTTATTGTGATTTGTTATTTCAAATTAGTTCGTAAAGATGATTTGGATCTAAGTTTCTGTCCGACAACCAATTAAGAAATACTAAGAAAAATCAAATTGGAAAAACAGTTTGCAATGGGAAGAATTCTGCTTAAGTTGATCTGTGTCAAGTCTCTTCAAAAAAAATTGAAATACCAAGGTATCCAAAGCTACTTGAGGTGTTGAAGCTGTATTTAATCTTTTTCACTGTAATAAAATGCTTATTATCTTAATGTGTGAAATCTGGATATAAGCATTCAATAAATTTTCATACATCATATTGTGATCGAATATGCCAACCAGAATCAAAATTATTTCAAATACCTAGCCGAAGGAAAAAAGAAAACCAATATTAAAACTACTAATCAAGCTTCACCCAAAAAAAATCAACAAAAATCAACAAAACATTACTTAATACAAGTGATGTTTAAGCAATTTCCTACACTACATTGACCTGGCGTGGCCGGTAGTTACAATCAAATTAACGGGTTGATTACGAATATAATGGCAACTTGATAATTTTTTTAATTTATTATTTATTTTTTTAATTCTACTAAAAATTTTACTTTCAATTTTAAAAGAACATGTAACTTTGTGATTTTACTTCTATATATTTTCCCCAAAAAAAAAAACTAACAAAAGAAGTTAGTTTGTCAAAAAGGTTATTGGTGTGTGTTTTGGATACATCCATTCACATATTTGAGAAATAATGGCAAATACGCAGATGAACAGAACATGGAAGGAACTGCAGTTTCCACAAAACCAGAAAGTATAAATGAAAAGATACCGAATGTTGAAGCCAAAAAGCCTGAAGGTATGTAAAGTATAATCTCACTCTGGTGTCTAGTCATGCCATTCTCTTCCAAATTCCTATTACACTCTGAAGGTCTATAATTCTTGAATTATTTTCTTTTTTGTAATTTTTAGTTTAACACATTTAACTTTAAGGTTGGTAGTTATCACCAACATTAGTGAGATTTTTTTTTTAGGAAGTTGTGTGACACATAATTAATGTAAAATCGGTACTTTTGCAAATGAACATATCATGGAAGAAGCTGCAGCTTCCACAAAACCAAAAAGTGAAAATGAAAAGATACCGAATGTTGAAGCAAAAAATCCTAAAGGTATGTAGAGTATAATCTCACTCTGGTATCTAGTCATGCTATTCTTTTCCAGTTCCTATTTACTCTTTGAAGGTCTATAATTCTTGAAATATTTTATTTTTCTATAATTTTTACTTGAACACATTTAACTTTAAGGTTGGCAGCCATCACCAACATTAGTGAGAATTTTTTTTTTAGAAAGTGTGGCACATAATTAATGAAAAATCGGTATTTATATATGCAGATGAACAGACCAGGGAAGGAGCTGAACTTTCCTCAAAATCAGAAAGTGAAAATAAAGAGATACTGAATGTTGAAATCAAAAAGCCTGAAGGTATGTAGACTATAATCTCACTCTGGTATCTAGTCATGCTATTCTCTTCCAATTCTTATTTACTCTTTAAAAGTCTACAGTTCTTGAAGTATTTTGTTTTTCTATAATCTTTTGTTTAGTGCAATTCACTTTAAGGTTGGGAGCTGTCACCAACATTAGTTAGAAATTTTTTTTAGGATATTGTTACACATAATTAATAGAAAATCGGTCCTTATGCAGATGAACATAATATGGAAGGAGCTGCACTTTCCACAAAACCAGAAAATGAAAATATAGAGATACCAAAAGTTGAAACCAAAAAGCCTGAAGGTATATATGTAGGCTATAATCTCACTATGGTATCTACTCAAGCTATTCTCTTCCAATTCCTATTTACTTTCTGAAAGTCTACGATTCTTGAAATATATTATTCTTCTATAATCTTTCGTTTAGCACATTATAACTTTAAGGTTGGTACCTATCACCAACATAAGCATGAATTTTTTTTTTTTTTTGGAAGTAGTGATACATAATTAATACAAAATCGGTACTTATGCAGTTGAACATACCATGGAAGGAGCTGCACATTCCAAAAAACCAAAAAGTGAAAATAAAGAGATACCGAATGTTGAAGCCAAAAAACCTGAAGGTTTGTAGACTAATCTCAATCTGGTATCAAGTCATGCCATTCTCTACCAATTCCTATTTACTCCTTGAAAGTTTACAGTTCCTGAAATATTTTCTTTTTTTATATATAATCTGGTGCATAGCACATTATAACTTTAAGGTTGGCAGCTATCATCAACATTAGTAAGAATTTTTTTTAGAAAGTTGTGCACATAATTAATGAAAAATTGGTACTTATGCAGATGAACAGACCATGGAAGGAGCTGCGCCAATTTCCACAAAACCAGAAAATGAAAGTAAAAAGATGCCGAATGTTGAAGCTAAAAAGCCTGAAGGTATGTAGAGTATAATCTTACCGTGGTTTCTAGTCATGCTATTCTCTTCCGATTCCTATTTACTCTCTTATTGTCTATAGTTCAGAAATATTGCCTATAATTTTTAGTTTAGCACATTATAACTTTAAGGTTGGAAAACATAATTAATAGAAATTGGTACTTATGCAGATGAACAAACCATTGACGGAGCTGTACTTTCCACAAAATCAAAAAGTGAGAATAAAGAGATACCGAATGTTGAGGCCAAAATATATAAAGGTATGTAGACTATAATCTCACTCTAGTATCTGTTGCAAACATTTTTGAAAATTAAATCCCTCTTTCATCATACACACAGGAAGCAACATCATCACACAAGCATATATGGAAATAAAAATTATATATATTCATGTACAATATAATATTTCACATGGTTTACCCATCCAACTTTAGGACTAGCTATGCCCATAGAGGGAGAGATTTCACTCTAATGTGTATCAATGGAGAGAATGTACAACTATAGATGTCAAAACCCCACACACTCTTTGCACTATTTTCCTCTTTCACACTTTTGTTCTTTTTTAGACTAATTAAGATCGAATACAAGAGCCCCTTTCTTCTCAAGGCTACAACCACATGAATTATGTATACACTTTCCTCTCCTCAAAATACTGACAGTCCCTTATGTTGGGGATAATTAACTCCCTCCAACCCACTCAACGGTTGTGATACCCCTCGGATCCGAGACACGGGTTGATCAGGCCCAGGCCCAAACCCGAGGGAGTATCAAACAATTAAAGTATTTTAAAACGAACACAGATGACAAAAAGAAACAATAAAGATAGAATAAAGCTGAAAGAAATAATAATAATAAAACACTCCATGTATAACTGAAAATTGAAACTCCAATCCTTCAAAACTTCAAGGTTACAACTTGGGAATCCACTGATGAACCCCTAACCAAAAGTTCAACTGAAACCGAAAACTGAAAATAGATAATGCTAGAAACATCGAGAGAAGTCCTACGTAATCAGATGAAGGTGAGACTATCCTCGACAAGCACGATCAAGCTCTAAGGCTGGAACCGTCCTGTACCTGAAAAGAATAATGAAGGAGTGGGTCAGACCCACGAGCAAGTTCTAATCTAACTGCAATCTATACAGTGACCCGATACGCAGATACACCGTAGACATCTCACAATATCTATCTAGTCCATACGTATAAATATATCCACACTAAGGGACATTCACTAGTCTATAATAGGGGTCTCAACCTGAGTAGAAGGCAACATGCGAATACGCACCCAAAGGTGGACATGAGTACCTAGACCTAACAGGGTACACCTCAACCTATTATAACCAGCTACGCATCCACTACATATACGCACCCTAACCAACGAGTCTGAGACTCAAGCTCAACTCGTGGTACCATAAACATATATATAAAGTCCGTCCAAATCCAGGGTATGCAATTCAACTATTTATTAAACTGACATACAATAAACCAACTAGTTAGTCACTCAACTTATTCAGTTGATATGACTTAACTACCATCCGTTAATCCAGGAAGTCATCTAACTTGGTTACAGCTGATCTGACTTAGTCACAATTAGGATTCAATATCTTTCAATCCATTCCATTAATCCATTAGGTTAGGTTTATGCATTTTGAGCTAAACCGTCCTTAATAGGTCACCGTCCCATATCGGTACATACAATCCTCCACATCCATATAAATTACAACATATACAACAGTTCAATAGTTTACAGACCAAAAACCACCATCCAAATAATTACAGAAGGAATCTTAACAATCTAGCAATTAAAACCCAGTAGTAATCCATGCAATTGCATCGAAGAATTAACTATTCTAACAATTAACATCCAACACATACATAGTTCAAATTTAATTAAACAATGACCCTATTATGTATTTAAAATTAATTCTATAATAATATTATAGTCTAATAAATCGCTAAATTAAACTAAGCGATCTAGTTCCCTCCATCCGGTAACAGAGTACTAAGTCATATACTTATATTTTGTTGTATCCTTTAGCACAGAGCCCCCACTATGCCACAAGTCCAATATATTACTTTAAAAGACTTCATCGTGCATCTAAAATAAATTTAAAATCATTTTATAGCACCCTAAACCATCAGATTAAAATTAATCAACAAATCTCCTTTCAACCGTTAACTGTACGCAAAGTTGTCAAATAGCGTACTGTTATTTCCATTTAAACTAAGGGGTAAATTTATGCAATTCAAGACCTTAGTTACATGTTAAAATTATTATTTAACACCCAATTAAAATTTTAAAACTGATTAATAACCCAGAATGCCCAAACAGTGACTGAAAATCACTTTTACGCACAAAACAAAGAAAGAGCCTACTCTAGAAAAGTTGAGCAGGCTCATGGTGACATAGAGCCGGCTTTACCACACCTTGGAGCCGGCTCTAACAGGTGGGAGCCGGCTCTTGGCATTCCAGAGCCGGCTCTCTCTCCCCCTGTGAGCTTCTTCTCCATTTCAGCTTTGTTCTGACCTCTGTTCCAATTCTAGCCAACTGCAACCCTTCTGTTTGGTTTCTTAAACTGATCTTAAGTATCTTATTAACACCCAAGAACATCCCAAAGGTTTGATAACAACCATTAGATCCAATCACAGAGATTAAATTTTGCTACCGAACTAACATGCGATAGGAAACAAATCTGAAACTATTTGACAAATTGAAACAGAACAAATTGCAACACATCTTTAAAACAGAATACTAACAACCCTATGAGTTTTATATAACCCCAGTATTGTTCCTATATATTGTTTATAATAGTTGCAATCAAATATAGAGACTAAAGTTACAACAGAAACAACATGCTTGCAGAACAGAAAACTGGAACGAAACTTGTATGCACTGCAACAGATTTATTTTCAACACAACAGATCATCAATATAGCATAAGTTAAACAGGTAAATTCTAGTTACTGATTGATTAAACCCTAAAGATTATCTAGGTGCACCAAACACGAGCCAAAGAGAAGGAGAAAGAGAAGAACTTGCCTTTGAGTTTCAGACTTGAAACTCTAAATTCTCAGCTTCTGTGGTGATATGTTTGTGTCCTAACTGCAAGTCTGCTTCCCCAGTAACTTGGTTCAACCCAGAGACACCTCCTATCTTCCTCTGTTCTCCCTCTGTACCTCACAATTTCTGTGTCTTTCACAGAATTCAATTCACGTCTCCGAGTTAACTGCTATGAATCCAAACCCTAAGCTTACCGCACGTATTTATTTATAAGCTTAACTCTAAACCCTAATCCTTGTAACCTTAAAGCCAGAGCCCATCTCGGCCCATAAACCGACCTAAGATATATACCTACGTCGGCCACCCATGAAAATTGCAACCCTAAATTCACGTAAAGAACAGAAAACTAAACTCCCTTAAATTTAAATTTCCATTAAATAAAATTGATTAAACAATTAAATAAACACAATTAAATAAATAAATAAAATTATATAAACAGTTACCAAAAACATATTAAGTAACATGACTGATTAAACAATCAACCATTAAGCAATTAATTAAACCAAATAATGCACATAAAACCAATTTAAACAAATGAAAAATAATAAAATAAATAAAAATGCGTTAAAGACAATAAAATAAATAAAAATGCAATACAATAAATATTAAAAATGCCGAGACTTCTTTTTAAAATTAGGGGTATTACAACGGTCGGCTGTTGTTGAGAGTAAAATCCCTCCTTCATCACACACAGCGAAAGTATCATCACATTACATTAACACAAGTATATATAGAGATAACAATCATACACATCCACGCACAACACAATATTTTACATGATTCACCCAACTCTAGGGTTACGTCTATGGGAGAGAGGGATTTCACCATTATGAATCAAGGAAGAGAATATACAACCACATGTCAAAACCCCACTCACTCACTCATAATCTCTTTTGAGGCTACATGTATACACTCGGGAATTACATATACTCTCCCCTCTCCTCACAACACTGACCCTTAAACCACTTACATCTTTTCTTTCTTCTCTCTCTAAACCCCTCATACCCATCTCTATTTATAGAGTCTTCAAAACTCAATTCCTTGTTGGACAAGTATTTCTCAAATCCAATTCCTTGGTGGACAAGGATCAACTTACCTACAAGGAGTTACGATATCCATCTTCAACTCTAAAATAGCAGGTATAACTTTTTTCCCAAATTTTTAGCCTTTTTCCCCAAGTCTTCTGGATTCCAAAACCAATCAGGAAACTGTTTCTCGCAGCTTCCAAAACGGAAAAGGAAATTAATTTTCTACGCACAAATTTTGAGTCACAAACGCAACAATCTCTACCTTAGTTCAAAATTCAATCTTCACGTGCTTCTCCATAGCTCCACCTCTAACAAGGATCTCTTCATAGCTCCACCATAAGCTCTTCATAAGTCCACCTCAACTGAAGATTTCTCCACCTCAAATAAAGCACTATGATGAACTTGAGAAACACTCTAACAATCTCCACCTTTTCTCAAATTCATCATTCTTCATTTTTTTTTTTTTCTCTATCCACCCCATTGGTGTTCAATTGCTCATGCATGGCAACTCACCAATCTTCAACTCATCCTCATCAATTGCTTTTCTGGCTTAAAATAACAAACCTCTCTTCTTCACTCTTCATATTCCCCTTTGCTCTTTATTGGGCTTAGAGCAAACCCCTTCATTCTTCACACCCCTTGCCCCATCTTGAGAACCATCACCAACCCTTGACTTGTCCTCAAAACTTGTTACTTGTAGGCTTCACCTCTATCACCTTTGCCCCATCTTGAAAACGAGCATCCTCTGGCTTGTCACAAGACTTATTCCTCATAGACTTTAAGCCATCACGTTATTCATACCTTCGTGCCATCATCAACTCTGATTGAATCTCCATAGCACCTCATGATTATTTTCTACTCTGACAGACTTCGTAGCAATCTTCTTATACTAATTAATCTTCAGGACCAATCACAGGCTCTGACCCACCATCGGCTCTGATACCAGTTGTTGGGGATAATTAACTCCCTCCAACCCACTCAACGATCGGCTGTTGTTGAGAGTTAAATCCCTCCTTCATCACATACAGCGGAAGTATCATCACATTACATTAACACAAGCATATATAGAGATAACAATCATACACATCCACGCATAACACAATAATTGACATGATTCACCCAACTCTAGGGTTACGACCATGGGAGAGAGAGATTTCACTATTATGAATCATGGAAGAGAATATACAACCACATATCATCATCATCTCTTTTGAGGCTACATGTATACACTTGGGAATTACATATACTCTCCCCTCTCCTCACAACACTCACCCTTAAACCCCTTACACCTTTTCTCTCTTCTCTCTCTAAACCCCTCATACCCATCTCTATTTATAGAGTCTTCAAAACTCAATTCCTTGTTGGACAAGTATTTCTCAAATCTAATTCCTTATTGTACAAGGATCAACTTACCTACAAGGAGTTACCATATCCATCTTCAACTCTAAAATAGCAGGTATAACTTCTTTCCCAAATCTTTAGCCTTTTTCCCCAAGTCTTCTGGATTCCAAAACCAATCAGGAAACTATTTCTCGCAGCTTCCAAAACGAAAAACGAAACTAATTTTCTGCACACAAATTTTGAGCCACAAACCCAACACCTTAAGGTATGAAGATTTTAATCTCATTCCGGTATCTAGCCACGCTATTCTCATCCAATTGCTATTTTTCTGTGGAAGTCTACATTTCTTGAAATACATATATATTTATATATATTTTATAAACTTTTGATTAGCATATTATTTACTTTAAGGTTGGTGGCAGCTATCACTGACATTAGTGATAATTTTTTTTTTAAGAAGTTGTAACGTATGATTAATAGAAAATCGGTACTTATGCAATGCAGATGAACAGACTAAGGAAGGAGTAGCACATTCGAAAAAACTAGATAGTAAAAATAAAGAGATACCGAATATTGAAGGCAAAATGCCTGTATGTTTGTAGACCATAATCTCATTCTGATATCTAGTCATGCTATTCTCTACCAATTCCTATTTAGTCCCTAAAAGTCTCCAATTCCTATTTTTCTGTGGAAGTCTACATTTCTTGAAATACATATATATTTATATATATTTTATAAACTTTTGATTAGCATATTATTTACTTTAAGGTTGGTGGCAGCTATCACTGACATTAGTGATAATTTTTTTTTTAAGAAGTTGTAACATATGATTAATAGAAAATCGGTACTTATGCAATGCAGATGAACAGACTAAGGAAGGAGCAGCACATTCGAAAAAACTAGATAGTAAAAATAAAGAGATACCGAATATTGAAGGCAAAATGCCTGTATGTATGTAGACCATAATCTCATTCTGATATCTAGTCATGCTATTCTCTACCAATTCCTATTTATTTACTCCCTAAAAGTCTACAATTCTTGAAATATTTTCTTTTTCTATATATAATTTTTCATTTAGCATATTATAACTTTAAGGTTGGTAGCTATAACCAACATTGGTGAGAATTTTTTTTAGGAAGTTGTGACACATAATTAATGGAAAATCGGAACTTATGCAGATGAACAGACTATGGAAGGAGCTGCAGTTTCCACAAAACCAGAAAGTGAAAATGAAAAGATACGGGATGTTGAAGCCAAAAAGCCTGAAGGTATGTAGAGTATAATCTCACTCTGGTATCTAGTCATGCTATTCTTTTCCAATTCCTGAAGGTCTATAATTCTTGAAATATTTTATTCTTCGGTAATTTATAGTTTAACACAGTTGGCAGATACCACCAACATTAGTGAGAATTTTATTTTAGGAAGTGTGGCACATAATTAATGAAAAATCTGCATTTATATATGCAGATGAACAGACCAGGGAAGAAGCTACACTTCCCCCAAAATCAGGAAGTGAAAATAAAGAGATACCAAATGTTGAAACCAAAAAGCCTGAAGGTGTAGGCTATAATCTCACTCTAGTATCTAGTCTGTGTATAACTCACATAGTCATGCTATTCTCTTCCAATTCATATTTACTCTTTAAAAGTCTACAATTCTTGAAATATTTTCTTTTTCTATAATCTTTTGTTTAGTACATTAAACCCTTAAGGTTGGGAGCTGTCACCAACACTAGTTAGAATTTTCTTTTAGGAAATTGTTACACATAATTAATAGATAATCGGTCCTTAGGCAGATGAACATAATATGGAAGAAGCTACACTTTCCACAAAACCAGAAAGTGAAAATATAGAGAAGTAGATTTTAATCTCACTCCAATATCTAGCCATGCTATTCTCATCCAATTCCTATTTAGTCTGTTAAAATCTACAACTCTTGAAATATTTTATTTTTTCTATAATATTTTGTTTAGCACATTATAACTTTAAGGCTGAAAACTATTACCAATATTAGCGAGAATTTGTTTTTAAGAAGTTGTGAAATATAATTTATAAAAAATGGGTACTTATGCAGATGAAGAGACCATGGAAGGAACTGCGCATTTCAAAAAAACAGAAAATGAAAATAAAGAGATACCGAATGTTGATACCAAAATGCCTAAAGGTATATAGACTATAATCTCACTTTGGTATCTAGTCATGCTATTCTCTTCCAATTTCTAATTACTCTCTAAAAGTCTCTACAATACGTTATTTTTAGTTTAGCACAAAAAAACTTTTAGGTCGGAAAATTTCACCAACAATAGTGAGAATTTTTTTTTGGAAGTTGTGACACATAATTAATAAAAAAACAAGTACTTATGCATATGAACATATATGGAAGGAGCTGCACTTACCACAACCAGAAAGTGAAAATATTGAGATACGGAAAGTTGAAACCAAAAAGACTGAAGTTATGTAGATTTTAATCTCACTCCAATATCTAGCAACACTATTCTCATTCAATTCCCATTTACTCTGTGACGTGAGTTGCGCTATGCAGAATGGATGTAAATATTTGTATTAAAAATAAAGTGGTGGTGAATAGGTTTTACTTACTTCTTTATTAAAATTTTAAATTATTTTAATTTTACCAAAATAAACTAAAATCAAACCCACAAAGCAAAAATAAAATGCAAGAAAAGTAAATAAAATTGGAGAGATGACACCGGGATTTTTAGCGAGAAAACACTGATTAGTATAATAGACCAATCATCTGGAAAAACCTTGAGGACTTTTGCAATCCTGAGCTAAACGATCCACTGTGTATGAAGCAAAGTATAATTGACTCTGACTCAAGCTCACACCTATCGTTCTACCAAAAGCCAATTATTAACCATTCCTGGCTTTGCGACTTCCCCGTCCAACAACTCTCATCTTTAGACTTACTCTTGATCTCTGTAAAAGGATCCACCAATGTCTTGATCCTTTTAAAATGTAATCACTAATGCCAATTAATTATCATGTATAATTAATTACAATTTCCAGTTAAGAGTAGTGTAGATCTTATGCATCATGCACATGACTTCCATTCTTAATATATATTTGAGATATCAGACAGTTGTTCCAAAACATAACAATGCATGAGCTGATGCCACAATCCTTGAAGCAGGGCAAGTCAAATCAGGAGACTTTCTTCCGAGCAAACAGGATACTGCAAGTGAAAGAAACGTTTCTAAAAAGCATTGTCTGTGGCGGTTTAGTTGGATCAATTGCAAGCCCAAGTGTTGTATCATGTGCTGCTGCTGCAACCAAATGTAGGAAAGGTCATTATATAACCAAATGAAAGGGGTCGGCTAAATTAATTATCTCCATCCAATCTTTTTTATTACATGCCATTTTGCCTACTATATCAACTACCTTTACATTGAGCCCATGTTTACATTCAACATATAGGTCATAATATTACTAATCAAGTATCTGATAAGTTAAAGCAGCAGCTGTTTATTGTATTTAGAACATTATATTAATGCCAATATTTAGGTGTCATGTGTATGGAATATACTTGATTCAATTGCTTATCTTCATTGAACTCAAACCCAACATAGTTTTTACTTCCGCATAAATGCTGATACTACAAAAAGTGTTAGCTCAAAGTTTTTACCTTTCCACCAAACAATGGTATGTCTGCCATCAGTTTATGGACCTGCACATTAATATACCAGAAATCTTGTCTATTTAAAACTAAGAGTGTGCATGCTCTTAGAATTTACCTGGATGATAGTATCACTTTATCTTCTCTGATCAATGTGAAAATTTATTTCGAGATTCGTCTAGAAGTAAGCTTAATATCACTTCTAGGATACTTGCACATTTTCTCACACAATTATATACTTTTGAGAAAAATGTACTGTTTTACAACTTTTCATTTTGGAAAACAAATTACATTTCGCTAAAAGATATTTTGTCTTGAGTTGTTGCAGGGAACATTGTAGCTTTGGGATTGGCATTTCTGATTGGTGGACTTCTGATCATTGTTCATAATGTGAGTAGGATTCCATGTTGTCTCTCTCTGCAAACAAATACAAACAGTCCACATTAGTGGCTGTTGGCTTTTAGTAGTGATTTTAGGTTTCATATAAGGTTGCATTCTATATATATATATGACATGCATGGTTTTCCAAAACTCATTGATATTGTTCATGTGAAAAAATCTACATATAGCTGTGACGCTGTGTTATAAAAAGGAAAAATCTACATGTATAAAAATGCATGGTTTTGATTAAAGGGGCTAACAGTACTGTGGTTGTGGATTGAGAATCCCAAGCCATTTTTTATTTATTGCATCTTCGACCTATCTGTTACATTACAGCTTATGGAACTCAAATATGATGGTCCTATAGGCACCTCAAATGAAAGAAATGTAGAAGCAGATTGATACAAAGAACTACTGGGCGAGCGAGAAAATTTGTTACTCCATTCAACAATTGCTGTGTTATCTTTCTTAGTTTTCGGCTATATCCCTCCTGTAACATATGGCTTGTCATTTTGGAGGAGTGACAATAGGGACCTAAAGCTCGTAGCAGTTGCAGCAGCTTCTCTTCTGTGCATCGCTATACTAGCATTTGGAAAGGCTCGCATGCGAAGGCCTCCCAAGTTCTACAGGCATTTCAAGTCTCTACTGTACTATGTCAGTAATGGCATTTTATTTCTTTATAGGTTGTATATATGTTTCTTTTCACTTAATTTGTTCTTCCTTGGTCTTGTAAGTTTGGAGGTAGTGCATTGATGTCATGGGATCAAATGTTTGGTCATAATAGTTATTTGGAATAATGTTCTAATTCTTCAAGTTGGAGATAGCGTATTGAAGACTTTTTGTTTTTGTGTTTTTACTAGAAAGCAAAGCCCAAACAGGCAAAGTAAAACAGGCCAAAAGCCTTACAAGCCCAGCCCAAAAACCAAATCAAACTGTTGCTGCAACTGCAAATTGAAAAGCAGTTGAAGCAACAGAAACAGGGCAAAACACAGACCCTTCAACAGAGGGAAATCAAAACAAGGATCCATTTGTGGGGAGGGAACATTTCAAATCAAAAACAGAACTAGGAAGACTCCAAGCAGCCACTGTAGACCTAGCTTCTCTGGTATTGGAGAATTTGATAGACAGAAGTTTTTCTTACGGTCTTTTGTGAATTTTTTAGGAGTTCAATCGGAGCACTCTTATAATTATCAAAATTTGTGTATAGAAAATACAAATGACAGAAAATTCAATAACAAGGGAGGAGCCTTTTCTAAATTTTGATTGAACATGGGTCTTTATTACATTTTAAAAATTTTGTTGGGCAAATGAGTTAAATATTGAGGGATTTTTCTTACTTTTGCAAGTTTTTATTAAGGTCTTTTCTGAATATTTTAACATTTTAGTGGGGAAACTTTTAGAATTATCAAGAGTTATGTATAAAAAATGCAAATAAAAAAATTTCTAGTGGGGACAATTGTCCTTAGGGCTGCAAATGAACCGAGCCGAGCTTTGGCTTGCTCGGGCTCGGCTCGTCAACTCCAGAGAAGTGCTCAGGTCGGGCGAACTTGGCCTAGCCAAGCTTGGGCTCGCCTCGGTGGAGATTTGACGGGCTCAGGCTCGGCTCGGTTCGGGATTGTTACATATACAACAAGCACAAATCAACACAAATCACCTGTTCTTGGCTCGATTCTGGATCCGTACATATTCAACAAGCACGGATCTTTGGCCAGAAAGAAATTATTCCGATCTCTATCTCTGAAAGAAAAGTAAAAGAAAAAATATAGAACATATTTTTAAGATTATATCAAAAATTAAAACTTTTATCAGACTCAATCTACCTATATTTTGAACTGCGTTACTTTAAGATCAAAGAGAGAAAGAGAGAGAGACTGATCTATGTCGCAAGAAGAGGTCTGCTGGCGAGACAAGGCAGCGGAGCTAAAGAAGAAGATGTGCCACAGCCGCTGTACCCTTTTACTTCTTCTAGGTCTTATTTGCAGATAGGTCTTTTCTCTCTTTAACTTTATAAATCAAAGGCTGAGATGTATTAAGTTTCAAGGGATGAGATTAAATCTTGTTTGCATAATGGGCTAATGAATTATAACTTTTTGGGCCTTTAATTATTAATAAAATTATGTGAGTTGGGCCAAGTTTATATGGGCTAAACATTTTTAAACTTAGAATGATTATACAAATGGGCCATTAACTTAACAAGCTTGTTCACGAGCCTAATGAGCCGAGCTCAATGTTGCTCAAGCTCGGCTCGTTTATTAAACGAGCCTGGAAATTGAGCTCGAGCTCGGCTCGTTTACTAAATGAACGAGCTCGATCCAAGTTTTAAACAAGCCAAGCTTAAGCTGTTCATGAACAGCTCGGCTCATTTGCAGCCCTAATTGCCCTCCCGGTGCTTATATTCATTTAGTTGGACAGATTGAAAAATGGAGGGAAAGGAAAAGGGGAGGGATGAGCAATGCATACTTAAGGATTAGTTTCGTAGGCCGTATAGCAATTATAAATTATTGATACTGTATAATGTTAATAATATACCATATTAATTTTCCATGTTTTTAAAAGTAATGCTATAGAAGTTTGATTGGAAGGCTCAAACCTGGAACTTGGAAAAAAAAAAATTAAGAAAAAGCTTCTGACAATGTTGCCTGATATTTGTTCTTTTTGATTAAATATTTTCATATATGTGAGTTGGGCTATGCGAAGTATCAAATGATCAAAACACCTAAAGGGAAATGAATAGGTGAAACTTACTGTTTATCAAAATTTTAATTTTACCTAAAGAATAAAAATTATAACTAAAATAAAAAGAAAGTAATTCAACTGTTCCTGCCTATGACATAGTCCTGTGATTAATCTCCTGAAAAATAGCAACAAGTTCATTATAGTATGAGGGCGGCCATTCTGCTTGGTAGAAAAAGACTTCTAATTTAATTCAAAAATACACGTTTCATCCGATCCGTCATAGAAGGTTCTAAACACTGCCTCCCATATCTCCTTAGCTGTGGGACGATGAATAAATCGCTACATCAATGATCCAATCATCAAGTCAATGAGCCAACTTTTGACACGATGATTTTCGATTATCCATGCCTCCAATTTCGGATCTCCAGGTGGGGGTTTGTTCGCTTCTTTTGTGAGATACCCAACCTTGTTACGAGGCTAATCCGCATCTCCATTAGTTAAGACCATAATGAGTAATTAGTCTCATCCACTATAATTCCAGTTGGAAATGCAAAATTGTCTTGGTGGACTATGATCTACGGTGCCGGAGTCGGGGTTGGTATGGTAGTTATGCCTGAAGTAATCGCCATTTAAACTAACAACAATATGAAAAAGAAGGGAAAAAACTTTCTTAGAGTTGCTCTGAATATATGTTAGAAATATAAAAGAGAGAAACTGTATATTGTATTGATATATACAGGGTGTGTAGAGAACAAAAAACCTAAACCCTATATGGTAAATCTATACATGATAAACCTATACATAATTAGAATATATTACACAATATAATAATAATATTCCACAATATATTCTAAAGTAATTTATACTATACATGAAAATTTCCTAAACTAAAGAACCGTAAAACATAAATTACAATATATCAGTCGACTATCTTAATTAATTACCAAATCAATTTAGGAGAATTTACATAAATATATTAGGAAATATAACTCATGCTGACAAATTCCCATAGTCCTTCAACACAAGTTCACACGTAGAATAGAAAAATCAACTAACAAATTCAAGCCTAAACTAAGATTAGAGAAGAAAGAAATCAAGAATACCGTAAAAGATTTCAACAAAATTCAAACTTTCAACTTAGGAGTCATGGAGTTGGGGATCCATAAGAGAGAGAAAGAGAGTTTGAAATGAAGCCAAACAAACTAGGGTGCACAAAAGAACCGGAACCGGAACCAGAACCATGAGAACCGGAACCATTTTTTCCGGTTCTCACGGTTCCGGTTCCGGTTCCAGTTCCAAATTTAGGAACCGTTGACATACGGTTCTGGTTCCAATTCCGGTCCGTGGGAACCGATAAGAACCGGAACCGTATATATATATATATATATATATATATATATATATATAAAGTAACTGTACTAACTTAATAGGCTAAAAACGTAACCAAATCAGCCGTCGTGGTCCTAAGCTAACCACAAAAGAAAAAGTGAAAAACTTGAATAAAACATTACTTTTTCAATTTTTGCCCTAAGGTTCAGACTTCAGTTACAGCCTTCAGCCTCCTCTTCTCACCTAAACCCTCGCCTCCTCTGAGTTCTCTCATCAGCCCTCGCCCTCGCCTCCTCTCATCGACCCTCGACCTCCTCTCATCGGCCATCGCCCTCGCCATCGCCTCCTTTTTGGATCTTCAAATCAAGTCTCATCTCAAGCACATTTGAGGGTTTGAAGATAGTGTGCAATTTTGAAAGCAGGCTGCTGACAGAATTGTTTCCTGTTTCAATTCGTGGTTGTGTAGTTTGACAGTAGACTGTTGTTGAGGTTTGTTTTGTGTTGTGATGTCAGATCTATTCTTGCACTTGGTTGTTTCTGCTGACAGTAATTTTGCCGAGGATAAGTATCTTGTCACGATGGTTCAGAATGGTTGGGTCTTGAGGGTTGTCTCTTGGGTTTCATGGTTAGAAGCAGCATGTGGAACAGGGCACAATGGTTATTTATGTGTTGCTTCTTTGTTTTAGGTTTTTTTTTTTTTTTTTATGGTTTTGATTATCTAAGGATAAGTTAATTTGGTGGTTTATGGGTTTGTCCATTACCTCCTTTGTATTGGAGCTTTTTACTCCTACTGTAATTGTAATTTGGTGGTGTGTGTTTGTGTGTGTGTTTGGATCATATAAAAAACAAACATATTTCAGCCACTACATGAATAGCTTTCCCAATGAGATTGAGGAAAAAATCTCAAGCTTGATATAAGTCTCATCTCAAGCTTTAGACTCAGTCCTCGCCTACATCTTCAGATCTTCATCCTCACTAGTCATTCCTCATCTTCTCTTCAGATCTTCATTAACAGTCGGTTCCATGGAACTGAACCGGTATTGACGGTTCAGTTCCGATTCGGTTCCACCCTATACGGTTCAGGTTCAGGTTCTGTTTTTAAGGAACTGTTGTGAATGGTTCCGGTTCTGGTTCCGACCAGAATCGTGAGAACCGGAACCGTGTGCACCCCTAAAAGAAACACATGTGACTTACTTATACATAGGGCTACAAATGAGCCGAGCCGAGTCGAGTTTTAGGTTATTCAGGCTCGGTTTGCCAAGGTCAGAGGGGTGCTCAAACTCAGGCTCGAGCTCGGCTCGACATGTTTTGCCCAAGCTCGGGCTCGGGCTCGAGCTCGGCTCGACTCGTTTTTATATATATATTTAATCAAGTATATATAGAATCAAGTCGATCTATCTGTTTGTAGACACACAAATTTGAATCATTCCTTCCATCATCCACTTCAATTAACCTTCGATCTTTATCTTTTCTATTGCTAGCTTACCGATCTAGAAGGGTTCCAACTTCCATAAGTAGTATTATCAGAGTGGAGAAAGGGATGAAAAGAGGGGAAAAGGGATAGAGGAACAAACCTTCTTATTTGCAGAGGGACTTCACCAATTTCCCATCAACTATTTCCATGGAATTAACAGCAAAAGCGTGTTGACTGTTGCGGCAAATGTGCTTTTAGGATTTTTTTTATCTTTTAACTTAATTTAAGAAGTAATCCAATGGTTGAGATTATAATTCTTCAATTGGGCTAATTTGTTAGTAGGATGGGCCTTTAAAGATTATATGCATTGGG